GTGTAAACTAAAAAAAATTTAATACTTTGAAACATTATTGTTTACAAAATTGCTTACATAAATACACATATTCCAAAATTACATATAAATTCAAAAAGAATCACAAAATGTAAATGATTATAGGATTGTTTATATTTTCATAAAAACATTAAATTCTCCTAAATTTTTTTCACAAAAACAGCATATTTTCAAGAAAAATAAAAATAAAAATAAAATAAAAGTATCCTCACAAAAATATACATCTAACATCACATTAGTTAAAAAATACTTTTTAAATTATAAATACAAATTTCATTCTAAAATCTCAATTTAAAATAAACTTTGAATAAGCTTTAGTAAAATAATGAGCGATCGCTTGCGTTGTTAAAGAACGGTTTCTTTACGATACAGCTTATCATTGCATTCCCCTCTTCAATCACTGGATTCGAATTCAATTGAATATATCTAAGCTGTGATAAGCAAAATTATAAATACAAATACAAAAACCTTAAACAACGCATTGTAAAAAAAGTGTTAAAATGAAGTTATCCTCGATATTGCAAGAAATCTCATCCTCTTATTTAATTGAAGAAGCAAGACAGTATTAGTCAAGCATTTCTTGTAAACTTTGACATACCTGTGATCTCTATATGTATATTTGTTTCTGTGTTCATCAATATTTTTCTTAAATAACATTTAACAAATGTATTAAGTTTTCACATATATTTCTTATTTCAATCAATGATTTAAGAGATTACTAAATTCTTGCATTTGTTATATTATAGAATTCTGTAATAGAAATATCCAGACTTTTGAATGATTATATGTAAATAATATATGATTTTTATTACATATAAATTTTAAATAGATTTTAAATATAAAGCATATTTTTTTAAAAATGTTTTAAATATAACAAATTCTAAAGCAATCTGTTCAAAAATAATCATTCAAAAATAATAGTTTAGTTTTCCATTAAAAAAAATAATAGTTTTAATTTTTTATGAAAGTATAAAGTACAACACTTATAAAACTTTTATCTCAATATGTTTCAACAAGTAATCATAACATTCAATTTTACTTTAATGATACTTCAGGAAATATAATATATACAAACATTGATAATATTATATATTATGTATAAACACATATATCACTTGATAATACATCAATATATGTATTATCAAGTGATATATGTAGATGAAAGAGTACAGAAACAATAAGAGCAGCATTCTTCCCTCCAAAGTGAGACATAATTAAAGTGATTACGAGAACAACCAGGGAAGTGTCAATTAACTTCGCAAAACATCAGTTAATCAGTAAACTTTGAACTGAACGATCCAAGTAAACAGAAATCGACCGATTTCAACAGGGCTCGACCTGCGTATCATTACGCAATTATCGTAAGGGTCCCTTCCCGATAAGAGGAAAGCGCGAAGAAAGCGAGACAAGAAATCTATGCGTCATCGTCCGCAAATAAAGATTTCCACGTGACCATCCATATGATGATTATTCTTTCCCTTGCCCTCTTCGCTACCCCGATGATGATACAGCAAAGATTCTGCAAGAGGCTGCTCCAGGCTGCTTCAACGGATACATACCTTATCGGACGATCGCCACCCTGCGGGTCGGCACACGGTTATTGACGGAATGATGGAAGTTTTCGGTGACCGGATCGCAAAAATCAGTCAGATCGATCGTCGGGTGTGGACCGGCGAGTCGCCGTTGTCCAACGTCGTCGTTGTCGTAATCGTCGTCGCTGCCACCCGGTCGTCGAGCTTTCGAGCAAAATGTAGTTCGTATAACGTATCTATAACGAACATCCGTTTCGCTCGTAAAAGGTCTTTACGTAAAAGGTCTTTACGCGTCACGTGTGAGCATCGCAACCGTCGTCTACCTTGAATCCCAAGCGATTATTTATATAGTTACTGCAAGTTTGCTTCAAGATTAAGGAGGAAAGCCTGGAATGCGACACCCACACGAAAAACTATACCACGCCGTCCACGCCACCAATCACCCACAACTCTGCCCAGCTCTGCCCTGAGCTGTTCACAGCTCACAGCTACATCCACTCCTCCACTCCAGTCTCCAATCCACCCGAATCCTGAATCCACCGCTCACGGCGCTTACACTCTCTAGAAAAAAATGGGCGTGTTGAAGTCGGCAAAGTGGTTACCTGCTCGTCAAGCAAATGAATATAATTGGTTGTTCCTTAAAATAAACCCAACCAATCACATTTAATCGCTCGGTGAACAGGCCATTTTATTTGGTTTGAACGCATCCAATGTCATAGCGTTTCCGGCCCGATCGAATTTGCACTAACCTAGATTGAAGTAATGATTCGTACTCTTCTATTGGTAGAGCGTCAATCAATAGCAAAGTATTTTCTAATTCAAGTTGGTGCAAACCCGGTCAAAAACGCTATCAGCCTAGTGGCCTAGTTTCTACCGAGAGTTTAATCTGAATCAAAATGTAAAAACCAACCAATTACAGTCGAATATTCCCCTGTTGTTGTCTGTAACAGGACTGTCGTTTGACTGTAACAGGGGAATACTCGATTGTAATTGATTGATTCTTATATTCTGATCCAGATTAAACCCTCGGTGGAAATTAGGCCAGTGTTGAGCAGAGAGAAATGGCTGCGTTTAGTGAACTCAATAGTTAAGCTGCTATTGATATATTCTTTCAGATCTAAAATATTGATTGGATTTTCTAAAAGAAAAATACCAATAATACGGCGGAAATTATCGTACTAATCAATAATTCTAAGTTCTTAAGTCGGCTTCACGTGCAAAACTTCTAAAAATAATGTAATATTACTTCTGCCGCACGGCAAAAGTTGGATTGAATTCAACTTTTGTCACGTGAAATTGAGGTGATTTCCATTTGATAACAAAAGTCGACACAAGCGTTGCTCTATCCTTCTTGACATTCAGAGATAATAAAGATAGAACGACATTTGTGTCGATTTGTGTCAATTTGTCATCAAATAGAAAGCACCCTATATATCTATTGCCTATTGCACACTGGACGCGATAATGCTTGCCGAGCGGCAAATTGACACGCGGTAACCAATGAACATTAAGCCGGTTCTACATTAGTTGCAAGCCAATTTGCATTTTTTGAAATCAACGTTTCATATTGACTGTCGTAACAAATTTGCGATCAGCTTGCAACTAATGTAGAACCGGTTTTAGGAGCTGTAAGCTTATTGACTATCGCATCATATTTTGCCGCGCGGCAAACGTTTTCGCGTCCAGTGTGCAAAAGCCATATTACTTCCGAGCAAGCGAGACGTTGATTGGCTATCGCACCAACTTTCGCCGCGTGGCAACTTTTGTCGCGTTCTGGGCTGCATTTAGATTCCCACCTGAGATGTTATATCATCCTTAAGGCTATTTTCTGTCTGTTTTCAGGCTGAATTTGTGTGAGTGTACACTATTAGAATTTAAAGTGAGATAGATATATATTTGATATCTGTTGAAAGCGAGAAAGAGAATTCTAAAGCAGTTTAGTGCAAAAACAAAAAATAAACTTCTAGTTGTTTACTGAACATTAAACAAGATACCATGACATTTTGAGGAGCACCTGGGTAGGAATCCAAACACAGCTCTGTGTGCAGGGACGTGATTCCGTAATTGTTTTTGCACGCCGACAGTTGCGGTATCGTTTCACAGATATTTTATATGGTGAAAAAGCTGTGCAATGACATCAACTGTCGGTAGACGTAAAACAGTTACTATAAAATAGTTACAGAATATAGGAGCTATTACACCATGATCCAAGTTTACTGTAGGGATTAAAAAATTCTGTTGGGAAATGTAGGGATTTTTATTATTTTGATAGGGAGCTAATTTTTTGATCTCTGGTAACACTGATTGGTGTTTCTAACCTTTAAAATGCGTCAAGATGAGTCTTACATAACCTCAGCATGAATTGTAGGATCCAAAATAGTAAGTTATTAACACAATTGTAACATAGTGACCTGTGATCGAACTGAGAGATGTTATTATCTGATTGTAAAATAGTGCCATATGCAATCTGGCGACGATTACTTTCTTCTAAGAATGAAATTTTTTTCATTGACATGTATCCTTTCAGAAAAATTTTATGTGCAGCAGACTGCAAGTAGCGGCCGCAAGTTTCAAATTAATCTCTAATAACAGGAAAAATAATAAATATTTTAAAAAGAAAAGAATTGTATTTGTAGAATGACATTTATGTCGATACTGATAAACTGTATGTTTTACATCTGATCTTTAATATGCATATAGGCTTAATATGCAATCTTCATTTAAATTTAATATGTTGCATTTCACAAAGTCACAATTAGCGCGACTTTATTCGACGAAACAACACACTAGGTCGAAGAATCATTATGACACATTAAATATCACGCCACGTGCCACTCAAAATGAAATAAAATCGGCATATTACAAGCTAACTCTGCAATATCATCCTGACAAGAATAAAAGCGAATATGCCAAACAAAAGTTTCAGGATATCTCGGAAGCTTATGAAGTGCTCAGCAATCATGACCAGCGTAAAATTTATGATCGAAATACAATGGTATATCGACAATCAGTATCGACTACCACTCAGGAGCCCATTTCCAATTATAAGGACAAAGTTTATTCAGGATCGTCAAAAATTTATAATTTTGACGCGTGGACGCATGCACATTATGGAAAGCAAATGCACGCAGCACGCATCAGGAAACAGGCATATGAGAACACCAAAATAATGGAAGAAATAAATATTCGTTCAAGGAAGATTCCTCCATATATAGAATTTGCCTTGTTTTTATTGACTCTAACATTGATTGCTGTAAGTTTTCGAGAAAAATTCGATGTTCCAATATCTCAAAAACGTAACACAGAAAGTAAAGATAAATGAAATTAGTATGTTTATTTATTTAATTAATGTAAATTTTTTATAATGAATGTACAAAGTTTATTTTTATGCCCACTTATTGTTATTAAAATAAGGACAACATTAAATAGATCATGATGAAGAATGACAAGATATTATAGTTAAGAAATGTGCTATGTACTGTAATAGAAATTGTTTAATAGCATGCAATTAATGCATTCAAATATGCATATTCAAACAGAAACTTTTAGAGATTTCACAAATGGAGCATAGACAATATTTTAGAAATATTAGCATGCTAAAACATTGTCTATTATCAATAGCTAAATAACGAAGGATTTAGATAAATATAATAATCAGCTCTTTTACAACATGTCAATATAAAAGTAATGAAAAATTAATATGCAAAAGACATAATGTGCAAAGAGTATCGGATATCTTGTGATCAAGGAAATGTAAGTGGAAAATCAATAAAAACAATAAAATCAATAAATACATGACATAACTTTTCACATTAATATGGTCTATAAACTGGTAATCCCGGCAATGGCATCGGCATAGCTACTGGTCCAGTTGGATATGGTATGGAGGATGCTAGTCCAGGGAAATTCGAAGCGATTGGAGGATAACCAGGAGTGCTGTTCGAATGTCCTTTCCTTATTATCTCTCGTAGTTTATCTACCTTTACTTTACGTAAATGCATTAATTTTCTTCGAGACAAGAACTGGTCCAAGAACTCGTCTACTTCAATGTCACCGGCTAGAAATTTCTGCGCTATCCCCTATACATTAAAAGGATCAAAAAAAAAGTTGGATAATTTTACTGAGCAAGCGAGTGAAAATTTTTTACCTCCGATTCTTCTTCAATCTCAGCAGCCGCTGCTTGCAGCAGGTCAAGTGCAGTATCAACTGTCATTGTACCAGACTTATCACCTATAAATAAATAT